AGGCAGCTGATCGATGTTTCTCTCTCATCGATGTTTCAAACTCTCTATCCCTCTCCCTTCCTCTCTGTAAAAAATCAATAAAATATATTTTTTTAAAAAGAAAGAAAGGGCCCCTGGTGGGGTCCAGGTCTGTACAGCTGGGGGGATGGAAGTGGGGGTCTGGCACAGGGTGGGTGGGGGGGAGATGGTGTCAGAGGGAGGAGCCGAAGGGCCCTGTTCCATGCCCGCATCCCTCAGGTCACCATCCTGGAGGCAGCCAACAGGATCGGGGGCCGCATCCTCACCTACCGGGATGAGAAAACGGGCTGGATCGGGGAGCTGGGAGCCATGCGCATACCCATGTCACACAGGTGAGGCCTGACCCAGCTCCCGCGGGCCCTGCTCTGAGCCCCACCTCCAAGTCCCTCCAAGTCCGTTCTTCTCCTGATCCCAGCCCCACCACTGTGCCCCTGGAAGTGCTCAAGCCACCAAGTCCAGCTGGACCCCTAGCTATCCCCGCCCAGTGCCTCTGGACCCCCAGCTCTGCCTGCCCTGACCCTGACTTCCGCTCCAAACCCTGTCCTACACGGGACTGCCCTCAGCCTTCCAACTGTTCCCATTTCATTCCTGTCCCCAGCTGCCCTCAAATCCAACCCCACTCCAGCCTCATGCCCCTCCCCAAACCCCGTCCCCAGCTGCCCTACCCACCCCCTTCCCTTCTTCATGGGAAGGGGAACCCCGCCTCCCCGTCGGACCGCCCCAGCCTTGCCTGCTCCCTCAGGATCCTGCACGTGCTCTGCAAGAGCCTGGGGCTCAACCTGACCAAATTCATCCAGTACGACGAGAACGCGTGGACCCAAGTGGGCGACATGAAGCTGCGGAACTACGTGGTGGAGAAGATGCCGGAGAAGCTGGGCTACGACCTGCGCCCCCAGGAGAAGGGCCACGCGCCTGAGGACATCTTCCAGATGGCTCTCAACAAGGTGGGCGCGCCCGCCGGTCCCGCAGCCCTGTCCCCGACACTGTCCTGCGCCCCCTCGTCGTCCCTCTGGCCAGCCTTTCCTTCTCCCCCTCACGCCTCCTGGTCTCCCACGGCCGCCTCTTCCATCTTTAGTTTCCCTGCAAACTGCCAATCCCCAAAGCTCCATCACCCTGTGGTCTCTGGTCCCCTCCCCACCCACCACCCACACACTGTCCTGGACAGCCTCACCTCTTACATCTGTGGCTTAAACCTTGATCTGCAGGCAGATGTCTTCCAGACCCATCTCCTGAGACCCACATCTATGTCTGTCTCCCCCTGGCCACACCCAGGATCCTGATACTGAACTCAGTCTCGTCCTCTAAACCTCTCATACTCCCGGGTTCCCCATGTCACAATAGTCCTGGCCCCAGCTTGGGCCTCATCCTCTCCTCTGGCTCCTGCCTGCCCTGCCTGGAAGACCCCTTCCCCCATCCCCCACCCCCAACCTCCAGGGAACCCTGCTCATCCCTCAAGAACCAACTCCAATGCCCCCTCCTCCAGGAAGCCTTCCCTGATGCCCTCAGGGAGGAGCTGGCCTCTCCCTTCTCTGGCAGCTCCTAATTGTCCATCTCCCCTTCCGGACAAGGGTGGGTGCTGAGTTCAGGCCATGCTGTGTTGGCACCTCCCAGTTCAGTGAGCCTAGAGAAATGCGAGGTGATGGTGAGGGAATGAGGGAGGAAGAGCACAAGGGGGAAGCCAGGTGAAGAAGAGGGCAGAAACAGAGGAGGCGGTCAGGAGATGAGCCTGGAGCAGAGCGGTGAAGGAGGACTAGCCAGGGGGAGAGTACAGGGTGTGGGGGTGGGAGAGCTGAGGGTGGTCTGGGCACTGGATATTGTCCTTAGAACCAGAGCTTCCTTAAGAAATGGTGGTCCAGGGGCTGGTAGGGGCCTGGGATGCCAGGCTGAGGGAATAGAACTGCGGCTGCAGGTGCTGAGGAGCCCTGGGAAGCTACGGGCAGTCATGCCCTCTCAGCAGTGGCAGAAGGAATTCCACTTTTGTCAGTGCCCACAGTGAACCAGGAGGTAGTTCCTGGGCACCAGAATGCCACAGCACTGAGAGGGACTGTCCCTGCCTGCACGGAGCCACGCCTGGGACGGAAGCAGGCCAAACAGTGCCCGCCTGGCCGAGCATTTCGGTGCCAGGTGTGCCGGGGAATGAGGGGCATACGGACTCAGGAAGACGTCCCAGGGGGTGACATCAGAGCAGCAGTGGAGGGCAAGGCTGAGGATGGCATGGGCAAGGGCCTGGCGGTGTGAACGCGAGTGGTGAAGGCCAGCCATGAGCAGGAGCAGGAAGAGAACCCAGATTTGGACCCCAGGCCCCGCCCCCGCCATCCTGCCCCTCAGCTCAATGCTGTCTGCTTGTTCCCCTGCAGGCCATCATCGATATCAAGAAAATGGGCTGCAGAAAGGCCATGAGGAAGTTCGACAAGTTGACACTCCTGGTGAGCGAGGCCTCCGCGTCCCTGTCTGAAACCAGGAGCAGGAGGGCGCCCGTGGGCTTTGGCCCTGGAGCCAGAGGGAGGGCAGGAACCCGGGACACAGCCCTGGCGACCTCCCTGCCTGGCCATGGGGTTGGACATGCCCCCTCTCGGGGCTTCCCTTTCCTCATCGGTCACAAGAGGAGGGGGACCGGATCTCTAAGGTCCAGGGAACCTATTAAGTCAGTGACGGCGAACCTTTTGAGCTCGGCGTGTCAGCATTTTGAAAAACCCTAACTTAACTCTGGTGCCGTGTCACATACAGAAATTTTTTGATCTTTGCAACCATAGTAAAACAAAGACTTATATTTTTGATATTCATTTTATATATTTAAATGCCATTTAACAAAGAAAAATCAACCAAAAAAATGAGTTGACGCGCGTGTCATGGGTTCGCCATCACTGCATTAAGCTCTCCTCGCATCACGGAATGGGGAGGCTGAGCTGGGAGGGACCCCGCAGCAGTGGGGACGGAGCTGGCAGGTGCAATGCCGGGCCCTGACCTGCACCCGTCCCCCAGGAGTACCTCCTCAACGAGGGGAACCTGAGCCAGCCCGCCGCAAACCTCCTGGGGGACGTGATGTCCAAGGACCGCTTCTTCCATCGCAGCTTCTTGGAGGCCCTGCGGGCCCACGGTTCCCTCAGCGATCGTCTCCGGTGAGGGGCGGGGCCTGCAGGCCAATGGGGGGAGTAACGGAGTGGTGGGGGCCACAATATTGGGCAGGCGGGGCTGGCGAGAAGGGTGCAGCTTTTAGGGAGAAGGGGCCACGTTCACCCCCACACCCCGGGGTCTGGAGGAAATGGATTAGAAAGGTTCCAGGAAGGGCGTGGCCCAGGCAGAAGAGGCGGGATTCTTTTTTTTTTTTTTAAATTGGGCTGAGGCCTTTTCTAATTTTTTTTTAATATATTTTTTATTGATTTTTTTTACGGAGAGGAAGGGAGAGAGATAGTCAGAAACATCGATGAGAGAGAAACATCGA